ACTGTTTATTGTAAACAGAGCATTTACTTAAATATTTGTATCTATAAAAATAACGTATAAACAGAAAATATATTAAAGTAATTGTTTGACTTAGTCTATTTCATTATCTATCTATCTATCTATCTATCTATCTATCTATCTATCTATCTATCTATCTATCTATCTCTTTTCCTATGTGTGTGTATATATATATATATATATATATATATATATATAATAATAATGAGGTGTATTTTTATTTATTGATCCGAAAAGATTTTAATACATAAACGTTATTATAAAAACAACAACAACCACGACAGCAAGAACAACATTTACTCACTTTTGTTTATTAAATGTATTATTACATCACTTGACATCCTCTATAATTTACCTTGACTTTCAATTAGCCTGGCATATATTCATGAGCGTTCTTAAATTTTAAAAAAGTAGCAAAACTTATGAGATTTATAAACTTCTATAACTTGCTTGAAAATAAAAAAAAAAAACTTTACGTTTGCCTTGATAAAGCCATGCAGAAGACGAAACAGGTCGGATAAGAAAAGTTTTCCTTTTGTTTTGAATCATATATATATATATATATATATATATATATATATATATATATATATATTGGTACAAGGTTTTGCTTAAGTTTTTTAAATCATTTGAATTGAGTATTAGTAAAATAAAAAAACTAAACATCATACTAATTTGGCATTTCGGTAATTTTCTATGAATAATTATTTTATTTTTATCGTTGTACGAACTTTAACTTTGGCGTTTGATTTCAGTCCTATGTTCTCTCAGACACCTAACAAAATTAAAAAAAAAACGAATACACATTACTACAACAGCGAAGACGCTTATTATATTTTGAATATTCCAACTTTACACACACACACACACGTTTCTCAGTCTGTTTCTGAAAAGTTTAAATACCAAAATCATCATGCATATATATATATATATATATAAGAATAAAAGACAGACCACGTTAAGATTCCATGTAATAAGCTATGTATATATAGCTTATTACATGGAATCTTAACGTGGTCTGTCTTTTATTCAAACATATCTGCTCTGAATTTTACATTGAGCTCTCTGGATATCATCCTCTCAGGTCTACCCATACGGATTACCTAAATTTATATATATAAACTAACTATATATATATATATATATATATATATATGCATGATGATTTTGGTATTTAAACTTTTCAGAAACAGACTGAGAAATAAACTTTTTACGATTATTAAAGTGTGCAGAGAGTTACAGAAATATTGTCATTTTTTTACTTCGTCTCTAAATAGAATTATATTAAGAGCTGCATAAAACTATTTTGACTTTCATGAGATTTCATAAATTATATTGTTTTTCAAAACATCGTTTCTACTCGGGTTATCATTTTCTATACTTTTTTCTCTAGTTTCTCTGCGTACCACTCTAAAAAAAAATAAAAAAATATTGCCTCTTTCTTCCCCGTTACCGCTCCATCTAATTCTCAATAACACACGCACAGCCCATCGCATCACCAGAGAATGTTTCCACATTACTTCAAGGCCACGTTTGTACTTTTAACGGCCTCTCGGATAAACTTGTTTCATTCTGTATCCATTCAGACGCCAAGTAGTTTTCAGACTAAAATATATATATATATATATATATATATATATATATATATATATATATATATATATATATATATCTGTGTGTGTGTGTATGTGCGTGTGTGGTTCGGCAATAAACTCTTTAAGGTGATCATTTGAAATAGCAAACGCGTACCATGTGCAGTGTGCGTTCTCGCTGGGCTAACAAGCAAACGTGCGTACATCGCCTGAAATGCCACGCGTTTAAAGAACTGTGAGACACCCCCACAACACGCGCGTGTACACACCCACTAAAGCATACAGTTACTTTTTCTCATACATTCCACACTTGATATCAGCATTCAGAGTTACGTTGTTTAAACAAAACTTTGTTGTTTAAAGCCTGTCAATCTCGCCAGTTTGACTTGCTTTTCTTTCTCACCTGCTAAAATAAGTGACTTATTGGAACACTGACAAATACAGGCATTACCCAAATAAATCTGCTTGCAGACAAGTATATAACCATTCGGTGTTACTGCACAGACACAGGGATATGTGTCTGAAGCTTTTTAAACGCAGCAGTCAGAAGAGACAGTGGAGAGAGAAGAATTTCACACTTTTCGATATAATATTTAGATGCATATCTCCATAAATTCATCCATATTTATAGGAAAAATATCTCATTCGGATTTGCCCATTACAGATAAGGGCTTTTTCTGTAAATGACCATCAGTTTATGAACCAAAAAAAAGAAAATCGAAAAGAAAGCATATCTATAACTATCCACCAGTATTTATCATCTACCTCTCCTTCTTTTATTTCCATCTCGCTTTTCAATCTATCTATCTATCTATCTATCTATCTATCTATCTCTTTCTATTTTTAATTGCATTTTTTTAATAGTTTCTCTCTTTCTCTCTATCTATCTA